ACAGAAAGGAAATCAGAGCATGGACATGAATTCAAAGGTAACTGAATTGATTAACCTCTTTATTTTAATTTCACATGGCGCAAACGTCAAGCTCCCTTGTGTACATACAAATACACAATACTCGTTACATACACCTACTTGCGAAAACGTTTTCATAAAAAATAGGACATTTGTATTTAGTAAAAAGAAATAAATCTAAAAAAGACAAAAGAAGATCACTGAGGCTGAACGCTTTCTTTTGTCTTGTTTTAATTTATTCCTTTTTACTAAATTCAAATGTTCTATTTTCTATGACAACGTTTCTGCAAGTAGGTGTACACTTTCGATTAACCAAATCGCATTCGATTCGAGGAAACCACAATTCTACGACAAAGTAATCTTGTTGATTAATTGCTAATAATTAATTTTGTAGAAAATATTCAAGTATTGATAGAAAGATTCGAAGTAAAACAAAAAGGTGAGTAAGTGAATTTGAAATTTTGCAGAGACAAGAAGAACACTAACAATCTAAGCATCATACTTTAATTAATTCAAGCAAGTCTGCATCTCGAAGTAACTCCTATCTGGAAAATTAAAACAGTATAAACTGAGAATAGTTCGAAAACACTTTGAAGTTTCTAACCAGAGAAGGGTGGTGTGCTTCTATATACAGTGTAATCACASGCCTACMAGACTATTGAGAAGAGAGGTCGGCTCCAGACCTCCTATGTGGTGCTTTTTGCCGTCAATCTCGTACCCAGCGCCATTGTCCCTCTTACTGCGCAAGCTCGACAAAAAATATTGGTCGCAGACCAAAAGTAACGCGTGCTCTGGGTACGAGATTGTTTTGCGTTTTTCATCGGTAAATGATTGCGATCTCCAGTGTAGGGCCACAAATTCGCACTAAGAAAGAATTAAAGTTTATTTATTTCTAAACTGAAAAAAAACTCCCAAAAATAACACAAATTTCGAGGTTGAAAATGACCCCATTTTGAAGAGGGATTTCAACGGCTTTCGGCTGATAATCGCCATAGGAGGTCTAGAGCCGACCTCTCTTCTCAATAGTCTGTTAATCKTGTGGTGTAATTTCTCAGAAATTGAGTTCAAAGTATTAATACGAAAAATAAACCATGAAATTTTCTAAGTTTGCCCGTGCATATTCAAATCATCGAACGCGGTGTTAAGCAAGCTAGTGAGATGGTATTATTTTTTGTTTTGTGTGACTTAATGTATACGCTGATCACGACTTATTGTTTATTTTTACTTACGCAGAAAAGGAGATGAAACTTCGTGAGGAGCGATTAATGCTGCAGCGGAAACACGAAGGTAATCATCCTAAAAATATTCTCGGTCTTATTAGTTTTGCCCATCTTTCCATCCTTGTTTTAATTTCAGCACCGTATTGCGCAAAGCATTATTATTAACATGAGGGTCCAGGGCCGACATTTGGGGCATGTTTTCAAAATGGTCCAGATACGCTCGTCGATTTTGTTTTTAATTGGGAGATTGCGTTAGCAATCGAAGAGTTATTGTAGGAGAACGATCTGTCACTCACTAAGTCACTCACTCACTCACTCACTTTCCTGTAAACTGCGTTGTTGCCTTAGTAACTGCTATCTTGACTTATTCATTTTTAATTATTCATCTTCACGGTCTACCTGTTTCTTTC